CTGAATGGATTTTGGATGAAGGTGGTGAAAGTGGTGAGGAAGGAGATGACTATGATGATATAGAACATGAGGATTTCATGGAAGAGGAATCTCAGGTAAGGCAATAGGCCCTTAGGCTACTTCTGTATACAGCTTCAAACATAAGACAAAATATCCTGATCTTTATTTTATTTTATTTTTTTCTGTTCTGTAGATCCTTCTTGCTGAGCTACTTTTCCATTTTTTATTTTGAGACAGGATTTCACTGAGTTGCTAAATTGCCCAGGTTATACTTATTTATTTTATTTTAATTTAATTAATTAATTTATTTTTGCGGTACCAAGGGTTGAACTCAGGAACCTGTGCTTGCCAGGCAAGTGCTTATTCTACTGAGCTATCTCCCTGGCCCAATTTATTTAATTTTTTAAGGAATAACTGTTTGGACTGTGGGTGAGATTTATTTATTTTTTTTTAAGTACAGGGTCTACAGGATCTCACTAACAGATTGGACTGGTAGTGATTCTCCTGTTTTCAGCCTCCCAAGCCCTAGGATTACAGGCATGCGCCACCACGCCCAGTCTTAATCGCTGTCTCCACCCCCAAGGGCAGCAAGGCATAGCCAGAATCCAGCCCCAGTTCCTGCATCTGCCTAAGGAGGCACTTTAATCCTCTGAGCTATCTGGCTGGCCCTAGATTTTTATTTATTTATTTATTTGTTTATTTACTTGAGACCAGGTCTCACTATATACTCTAGGTTGGCCTCAGACTTGAGACAGTCTTGTTTCAGCCTCCCAAATTTCTGGAATTACAGGGCATGCACTATTATGCCTATCTAAGACTTGTTTTATGACTTTTCATTAGAATTTTTGTTCGTTGGGACTCAAGTCTAGTAAAATTATTTTTAGCTTACTGGTCTTCGGGGGTAGAGATATTTTTCTGAGGTAACTACAGTATAATCTGTTATTTTACAGTGTGAAAGTAGTGAAGAGGAGGAGGAGGAATGTGAAACTATGACAATAGGGGAGTCTGTGCATGATGATCTATATGATGAGAAAATGGATGA